AACTCCCAGGGTTGGTTTGGGGAAAGCTGACAGTGAAGAGGAGCAGGAGCAGGAGGAGATGGGGGAGGGAGACTTCTAAATTAGAGGAGATTGGAGGGAAGAAACACTGTATAATGCCTGAATAGCTTTCTGTTGTCTCTTGCTGTCTTGGACTCAGGCCTGGGCAGGGTTCTGAGAAGGAAGGTTATGCTCCCCTATTTTGGTCACTGGTTGCTATGGATAGACAGCTTTCATGTTCTGAAAGTGACATGACTCAGAAGGACTGGGTCTTTACCATAGTCTCAAAGACCCTGGAGTCTACCCCCTGTAATAAGACTAAATGTGTATATTTGTGTAATTAAAAACAAAGACGATTCTTAAAAAGGCATATACCTGACATATTCATATGCATCCCAAGAGGGAGCTCCAGATTCCAGGATTTCCATTTCGAAGGGTTTACCTCTCCTGGACTGTTATAGAACATTTTTCTCCTAATATACTTGTAGATGGTCTCTCCCTAGCTTTTTTCTTCTCCCACCTTGTTGCTGTTGTTGTTAAGGATTGCATTCCTCTGTCCTTGAGTGCCCCTTAGTAACACCCAGCTTATTTGTGGGAGGAATTGGAAGGGTTCCTTCCTCCCTGTTGCTGTGGGAAAAGGGAGCCGTGACTGTCAGCATAACTGGGACTATAGCTGCGCATTGCTAAGTGATCTCCTCATCAGAAAGAGAATATGAGAGGTACAGTTCTGTTTTAGGGTGCATGTATTATCCAGGATTAATTTGGGTTTCAAACACCTGAAAACCAAAAGCAGCATGGCTCAAATATATTTAAGTTTATTTCTCTCACATATTAAAGGTAGGCAGTATGGGACTGGTAGGGTGACTTTATAATTTTTCAGGGAGCCAGGTTCCCTTCTGCCTTACTGCTCTGCCATCCTCAGCATGTGACTTCTAGCTGGTGGTCCAAGATGGCTACTCAAGCTCTAGCTGTCAAGTCTGTACTGTAGCTGACAGGAAGGACAAAGAAAGGCATGCTCTTCCCTTCAAAGAGACTTCCTGAGGTCTTATTAATATGAAACTTTGCTTACCTCCCTGGGGCAAGAACTTAGTTACTTGGCCGTACCTGCCTGCAAGAGAGGCTGGTAAATGTCAGCTTTAATTTAGGCAGCCCACACTCTAGCTAAAATTTCTATTACTAAGGAAAAATGGAGGAACAGATATTTAAAGATAACTAGCAGTTTTTGCCACAGAGAGACTTTGGGGATTTGTTTCTGCTTTAGGGTTCGGTGTGGATCTGCTATTTGAGTACTCCTTTCCCAGCATCATGCCCCCAGAACTTGAAGACCCTCACATGGACCCCACACTCATTGGTGTAGGCTTTCCAGCAAGGACATGAGTTCAGAAGAGGAGGGAAGGCTTGGATATTGTAATTGTGGTAGTTACTTTTATCTGAGCACCTGGCCTCCAGGCCCAGCCTTGTGCTTGAGCGCTGATAGAATCTATGGTGCTAGATGGGGATGGGAATTCGGGGAGGTTTGGAGGGGTGAGGATCAGATGGTGAAATGCTTCTTAATTAGAATCAGGAAAACATTCAGGGGACTTGGCTTCTGTTTGGTAGACTGTTTCTGGGAGCTCTCTGTTCTCTGGCAGAGCTGAGAGTACAGTGAAGCAAGTAAGACTCCTGGGGCCAGCATTTAAGGATGGATGCACTCACTCTCAGGTTCTTCAAGTGGTTCTGAAAGTGAGTGTTTCCTTAAATTTTGTGCCCCAGGCACCCCCCCTCACCTCACCCTACTCCTGACCTTGCTCCCTGGCTGCACATTGTTCTAGATTAAGTAGTTTTTACGGAGGAAGAAGCATATGTGCATGGTAAATAAGTCAGAGTATAAAATAGTATAAAATGGAAAAAGTCTTTCTCTCTCTCCAGAGCTTTGGTCTTCTTCCCCAGAGGCAACCACTGTGACAGGCTCTTTTGTATCTTTCCGACTGTCATTCAGAATGGGGAGAAGGAGTAGAAGTGAGACGGAGTGCCTGTCAGTGGGTCTGAGGATTATGTCTGCTTCTCTCCCGGATCTTGCATCCACATCTTGGTGCTACAGGGCAGAAGCACAGTGAGCATAGCCAGGGCATTGTGTGCTAATCTCTTTCTTCATGTGTATGTCCATCTTTTTGTTTCCCTCTCTTTTTGTCCCTTCTCTCTGGCTCTTTATCTCTGTATCTTGTCTCTATCTCCTCTGTCTTCTGTGTATTTCTCTATCTTTCTCTGTTAGGCTTTTTCTCACAAGCTGCACGCCCTCTCACTTCTGCTTCTTTTCATAGTCCTGCTTCCTTCCTCTGTTTTCTTGTGGTTTTTGTTCCTCTATTACAAGGGCCTGAATGTCACTTTGACTTGCTGTATCTCCCAGCTCTGCTACTGTTAGATAGATTCAGTCTCTTGGTACCCCAGTCTATGTTCCTGGGAAAGGCAATTGAATAGGCTCAGCTTGGGTGATCAACGGTGATAGGTGAGTAGGAGCAAGTCCCAAGAAGGGGCCTGGAAGGTACCTCAGAATATGCTTACTATATTGCACAGGGATCTGTGGATTACAGGTGGCTATTAATTAGGTAATCCTTATGCTAGCTGATGTAGGCTTAGCCCCACACAGCAAACTTTGATTAGCAGGGCAGCAGCATGTGTTCCTTTGGCCTTCCCTCCCATTTGACTGTTGCCTCCCACTCCTGACTGACTAGTGAGCATTTGTGTCATTTGCCAAAGTACTACTGAGTGAAACCTCTTTTTTTTTTTTTAAGCTTTTATTTATTTATTTGTCAGAGGGAGAGAGAGATCGCACAAGCAGGGGGAGTTTCAGGCAGAGGGAGAAGCAAGCTCCCCCCTGGAGCAGGGAGCCCAATGCTGGACTCGATCCCAGGACTCTGGGATCATGACCTGAGCTGAAGGCAGATGCTTAACCAACTGAGTCACCCAGGTGTCCTAGTGAGTGAAAGCTCTTAAAGTGCTATGGAGCCTGTTTAGCCATCGTGTTTATTTCCACAGGCTCTAGGCTCTCCTCCCTTTGAGTAGAAGAATGTGAACTTTCTGACAGTTGCCTTGCTCTAGGGAATTAGTGGTTAAGTGAAAGTCATCACCCTCTTGATTCCAACCAGAGTTCATCATTTCCCCTCTTTGCTTGGCACACAATAAAACAATATGCTTTTGTTTCCCCCCCTAATAATTTGTGGTCTCCTTGGGGAAGCACCACGCAAATGCCTGAGGGAGAGACCTTGAGCCAGGTGTCCACATGAGTATAGCATAGATACTAATCTGTGCTGTGAAGTGGGACTGTTACAGGGTTCAGGGAGAGACAGCTCAGTGAGCAGCTGGCTGGTATATTTGGGGAAGGTTTTACAGAGGAAGTGGTGACTGAGCTAGACCTCGAAAGTGGGAGTTGCTGTTAGCTGTGGCAGCACGAGGAGGAAAGGACATTTCTTTTTTTTTTTTTTTAAATATTTTATTTACTTATTTGACAGAGAGAAAGTGAGAACACGAGCCAGGAGACAGAGGGAGAAGCAGGTTCCTCGCCGAGCGGGGAGCCCGACATGGGACCCGATCCCAGGACCCCGGGATCACGACCCAAGCAGAAGGCAGCCGCCCAACCAACTGAGCCACTCAGGCGCCCCTCTTTAAGAATGTATATGGCGGGGGCGCCTGGGTGGCTCAGTTGGTTAAGCGACTGCCTTCGGCTCAGGTCATGATCCTGGAGTCCTGGGATCGAGTCCCGCATCGGGCTCCCTGCTCGGCAGGGAGTCTGCTTCTCCCTCTGACCCTCTTCCCTCTCGTGCTCTCTGTCTCTCATTCTCTCTCTCTCAAATAAATAAATAAAATCTTTAAAAAAAGAAAGAAAGAGGGTGCCTGGGTGGCTCAGTTGGTTAAGCGACTGCCTTCAGCTCAGGTCATGATCCTGGAGTCCCGGGATCGAGTCCCGCATCGGGCTCCCTGCTCGGCAGGGAGTCTGCTTCTCCCTCTGACCCTCTTCCCTCTCGTGCTCTCTGTCTCTCATTCTCTCTCTCTCAAATAAATAAATAAAATCTTTAAAAAAAAAAAGAATGTATATGGCACCAGTAAATGGTGTAGGAGTAGACAGAGGTGGCTTAGAGGATGAGCCCAAAAGATTTTGTAATAATGTTTGAGGTTCACATAAAAGTTCTATTTTTGGAGGCTTGGGGCAGTACTTAGCAGTGTCACTGTGGTGCCCCTTGTATTCTGTGTCCTCCTGGTGGGTCAGAGCAGTCCCTGTTTAGTAGGGGTAAGGTGCTGGGACCCTCAGCAGCAGGACCCTCAGAACACTGAGATCTACAGGAACTGGAAATAAAGCCAGCAGTGCAGACAGGAGCCTGGGGAATGCCCAAACAAGCTCGCTTCTCCATGGACCTCACTGAGAATTGGGAAGTTTGGATAGAAATGGAGAGGGAGTTGAGAGAGGTCCTTACAAGCTGAGGAATGATGGTTGGCCTCTCTCAGCCACAGTTTCCTCATCTATAAAACAAGAATAGGAATGTCTATATTTTGGGGTTGTGAGAATTAATTGAAAGGATGTATGTGAAATTGTCAGGTACTTACATACAAAACATTGTCTCTGTAATTCCTAGATGACTTGCCACCTGCATTCAAATTCACCTCATTTATTGATGGGCCTCTCTTGTAGCCATGGGAATGTTTTGTGCCTTGGATGGTTTGGAACGTTGGGAGTCTGAGCGGGAAAGAGTGGGTGAAGTCCATTATTCCTGGGCCTGGGGGCAATTTCCAAAAAAATGATTCTGGCTGTCAGAATTTATGAATGTGCTAATGCATGCCTTTGTATCTTTACTTGTTAACAGTGATGGGCAGATGGTGGATGTCCCTCCATTGCCTGTTCTTCGGGCTCTGATTGGTCCATTGGCCCCTTTGCTTTAGGCAGATAGGGCAGAAGCGATGTTCTCTGTAAGAGATTGGATCACTGTGCCCTCAGCTTAAGCCTGCCGGTGACTTTATGTTTTTCCTTCTAGGTCTGCTGACATTTGTGAACTGTGCTTATGTCAAGTGGGGCACACGTGTTCAGGACACGTTCACTTATGCCAAGGTCCTAGCGCTCATTGCCATCATTGTCATGGGCCTCGTTAAACTGTGCCAGGGTAAGATGGGCCTGGGCTGGGAAGGAGGGTGGATGACTCTGGGAGTTAGCCTAGATTTCCTAAGGAGGACATGGGGAATCTTGGCTTTACTGATTAGCTCTTTCTGTGTATATTGTAGACTGTCAGTGAGAGCAAGACATCTATTCCTGGGCTTCTTGGGCCAGGCTGGCTTGGCCAGCTGAACATGAGTCAGTCACTCCCTCAGGGCTGCTTTCCCTGTGTGGAAGCTGGGAACATTGCAAGAAGGCAGCTGGGAGCCCAGGAGTTTTTAAAACCTGGATCTTGTGTAATTGGATCATAAATGTAACTGATGGGGATAGAGTGAGCCCTGCTTGGCCCTATTTTTGGTCTGTGACTGCCAGGCAGTGAATAGGAAAACCTGGCTGTCCTTGAGAGGAGTGGGTAGGTGTGTATGTGGGGTAGATGGAGTATAGAAATGAGTGGTTATTTTGCAGCCTTTTTTTTTCATCTGGATTTGCTTTTATTTAACATTCGGTCTCAAAGTCAGCTCTCAGCAAAATAGTAAAATAGTATGAAGTTGGCACTGACTTTCCTGCATGTTGGCTTTAGAAAGCTTTTCATTCCTGAACTGGAGTAGACTGGCAGTGAGGACAGACAAGGTCTCCTGAGCTCTTAGGGAAGTCTTGAGGTATCTTTGGCCAAGGAGATCTCAGTCGTTCTCTAGATTGCCTGACACTAAACTCAGCCATGTTTACATTTACCAGGGAGAGCTGAGACCCCCATCTCAGATTGATTGGATTAAACACAAAATGGTTTTGGAGTTCAGAAAGCTCTGTTTTTAAGTGCCTTGGCAGCTGGTCCAGTATCTGTGAACACGTGCCAAGTTAGTACAGCCAGCCACCTCGATGTCCTTGAGTCCCAGGAACATCTTGGGGTCAACGAGGGTAGCTGAGTTATCCTCCTATCAAGATCCGTGCCTTAATTGCTACGTATGATGACTGACGCACCTGGGGCATGAAAACCTTTATTTCCCTTCTCTTGCTGCATACCCAGCCCTTTTTGACACATTGAAGGAATAGGTCTGCTTTTTGCAGGGGGTGATGGCAGGCTTCCTTATAAATCTGGATCTTGTTAAAAACCTCCAGTGTGTCCAGAAGGTCTCTCCTGGGCAGGCAGGTGCTGCTCTCTTGGCTTTTAAGTGTGTGGTCTCCGGAGGCCTCTGAAGAGAATGACAGGTGCCTAGGCTGGCTCTCTAAGGGTGGAAGTGGCTCAGGCCTACCCTGGGCCTAGGGAGAGAGAAGACCCCAGTTCTTACATAGCCTGGGATTTCCTGCCACATGCAACTGCAGCCTCTGTGCAAGTAGAGCAACAGAATTTTCTCATGAGAATGAGAAAACTATTTGACCAAATTGTGTGGTGGTTTTGGCCACAAGAGACAGTTCCACAGGAAGGCCTAATTGTTAATTAAAAATGCCTCCTTTATGTGAAGCAGGGTTCTTTCTAAAAATAGGAAGAAGAGCTCTGGCCTCCTGTGAGGTCACTTAGAAATTCATTAGAGCTTTTCTGGAAAAGGTGTTATCACTTCAGAAAGCAGCCAGGAATGCCTTTGTTTTTCTGAGATTGCATAGTTTGCTAGAGGAATATGCACTTTCTTGAGGGAATGGTTGGGGTGATAAAGTACAGGGAGAGCTGGTGGTTGTTCTTTTGATGTTAAATTATGTTTTTTTTCTTCTCTCTGCCTGCTTGCTTTTCCCTTCTTTTCTTGACCCTCCTCTTTTTCCCCATCTTCGCTTCCTTTTTCTTACTGCCTCTCCCTGTTCTTCTCCTTATACCTTCCATCTCTCCCCTCCTCCTTCTTCTCCTTCCTTTTCACTGAACCCCTTCCCTGCCTGCTTTTGCCCCCACAGGACACTCTGAGCACTTTCAGGACGCCTTTGAGGGTTCCTCCTGGGACATGGGAGACCTCTCTCTCGCCCTCTACTCTGCCCTCTTCTCTTACTCAGGTTGGGACACCCTTAATTTTGTAACAGAAGAAATCAAAAACCCAGAAAGGTAACGGTGGGATCACACTCTCACTCCCCAACTTGGCTGGAACTCCTGTTGATAGTGGGCACACTTGCCCTCTTCCGTCCCCTTTCTCTTTCTCTCATCCCTTCTTCCTCTCCCTACTCCTCCTCCTCTAGCTCAGAGAGATTAGGGGCTAGGTTGGGAATGAGTGAAGGTGGGAAAACCCCTTGCTCCTCACCCTCAGGTTACACTGGAGGATCCCCCAGGTCCTTGCTCGCGGAGAGATCCTCCAGTGGGCAGTAGCTGACCCAGCTCGGGCTAAGGTGTTAGAACCTTGTGCTCTGGTGCTGACACTGAAGCCTGGGGAGCCAGAAGCTTATTCTGGGCAGTCAGGTTCCCAGACTGGCCTCTAGTCCCTGGAGGACACTGCTCCTCCTTCCGTGGGACCCATTGGTTCTCTTGTGGCAAGGATCAAATATTGAGCCCCAGCTATTTTCACAGAGAAGGGTCGGTCTCTCTTTCTCTCTGATTCTCAGCAGAGAGGAGCATGGGATTCATAATCCTCCTAGACCATGTGGGAAAGAGGAGCCTGCCTCAAAGACTTAGAGCCAGGGAACTGTTAAATTTCAGAAAAATCCCTGGGTGAACTTTGACTCCAAAGAGAGTTGATTCTAGGTAGTCCTATCTTACTTGTCCTGACAGAAATTTGCCCCTGGCCATTGGGATTTCTATGCCAATTGTGACGCTCATCTACATCCTGACCAATGTGGCCTATTACACAGTGCTGAGCATTTCAGATGTCCTTGACAGTGATGCCGTGGCTGTGGTGAGTCCCGATTTGCTCATCATCTTATAATACTGAAGGGCTCAGTCTCTCTCTAAGCCCCGCCGGCGCTGCAGGGTGAGATGATGGGTCCAGGCTAGAGGGCGGGCTGCTCGGCAGTGACGGTGTTTGTCCTGACAGCGTAGGTACAGGTGGCTTATGGAACCCTGTCCTGTGCTGAGGGACTTCTGTGCTCTGTCCCTAGACATTTGCTGACCAGACATTTGGCATGTTCAGCTGGACCATTCCCATTGCTGTTGCCCTGTCCTGCTTTGGGGGCCTCAATGCATCTATCTTTGCTTCATCAAGGTAATGTGTTTCTGCTTTACCAATAACAGACTGCAGTATTTAATCTTCTGAGGCTCCAGGTGAGCCCATAAGAGCCCTTCTTTCCCTTCTTTCTCTTAGATGTACAGGGGGTGTGTGTGTGTGTGTACGTACACTTGTGTGCATGCATCAGCTGGCCTTTGTGCAGACATTTGTATGCTTGAAGCTCATACTTCCATCTGAGGCGATGACAGATTGGTGAGAGGTAGAGGGGAGGAAGGTTATAGCTTGGAGTAGAGAAGATTATTAGTGATCACTTGCCGTGTACCAGGTATTGACACAGGGGACTCTGCCCCTCACTTCACAGAAACCACCGAAGCTGACAGGCAGGCTCTGTTCTCCTCTCTTTCTAGAGACTTCTCTATAAGAGCATTTGTCCTTCCTGTTGTTTCAGAGAAAGGAGCAGTTCTGCTTTTCCAGGCTGACTTTGCTACCTGGTTTCAGGGTCCCAGCACTACCCCTCTTCTTAGCACATGGCTTTGTCACTTGGCCCTTCTTTTTGGTGGATTTCAGTAAGAGCCAGCTCTACACAAGCTTCTCTCATCTCTGCTCAGTGAAGTCACAAAACAGCTTTTCTCATCTCCCTTCTTCCTTTCTGGACACACTTCTTGAGGGAATGGTCTCCATTTTAACTGCCACTCATTTTCTAGCCATTATACTTTGACTTCTACTACCTAAAAAATATTCTTTTTTTTTTAAAGATTTTATTTATTTATTAGAGAGAATGAGAGAGAGAGAGCATGAGGGGGGGAGGGTCAGAGGGAGAAGCAGACTCCCCGCCGAGCAGGGAGCCTGATGTGGGACTCAATCCCGGGACTCCAGCATGACCTGAGCCGAAGGCAGTCGCTTAACCAACTGAGCCACCCGGGCGCCCCTAAAAAATATTCTTATTAAGTGTACCTGTGATCTCCTTCTTAGCCTGCTTGTAGTCCTTATCCTACTGGACCCCTGAAGCAAGTGATGCTTACCGCCCTCTGCTTCTGAAACTATTCCTGTGACTCTAACACTCTGATATTTGAGAGGAAGGCTTCTTTCCTGATTTCTCTTTCACTCACCGTATAAATGTTGCTGTCCCCAGGGCTGGGAGTGTAATAGGCATTCAGTAACTATTTTCTACATGAACAGGTAAGAGGATGAATTAATAAAAGAAATAATTTTTGTCCTATTTTTCTTTTATTTTTTTAAAGGGAACTTTTTTTTTTTAAAGATTTTATTTATTTATTTGACAGAGAGAAACACAGAGAAGGAACACAAGGGGAGTGGGAGAGGGAGAAGCGAAGCAGGCTTCCTGCTGAGCAGGGAGCCCGATGCGGGGCTCGATCCCATGACCCTGGGATCATGACCTGAGCCGAAGGCAGACACTTAATGACTGAGCCACCCAGGCGCCCCTGTCCTATTTGTTTTTCTTACTGGTTTTGACACCACAGTCCATGTACTTGGGGCCTCCCTAGGGTAACCAGGGTAATAGATCAAATTCTTGGAAAACAGCGTGGTATCTTCCCTTACTTCAACCTGGTATGGCCAGGGTCGCACTGGATGTAACTCTTAACAAGTTACCCTACCCAAAGATGGTGTTTCCCATAGCCTTTCCCTTATCAATGCCCAAGACATTCCAAATGGCTCTGTCAATCTTCTTAAAATACTTAACACAGTAGGTACGTTTTAAGCTCACTCAGCTGTGTTGTGGCATTGACAGGATGGGGGTGGGGATAGGGGATTCAGAGAGTAAGAGTCTGGACCAGCACATAAGTGGAATGCAGTGATGTGGAGTCACTGTACAATTGTTGAATGTACAATTGTTTCTGTGTTAACTTCACTTTTTCTTTTATTACCTATGTAGTTGTTTTTGGCTTTGTACTAGACACTTTTGCTGTGCCTGCACATTATCCCCTTCCAGCATCTCCTCTACCATATTTCTTCTCTGCCCAGTACAGATTATTAACCTGTGTGAGCCAACTCCCACCATCTTGCCCTACGACCTTTCCAGATGCTATCATCAACTCCTGTGGCTCCATCTGGATGGCTCACAAGTATCTCAGTGCACTCCACTTGTGCTTTGTCTTTAGTTGTGTTATTATGTGCTGTCGAGTCTCCTTGCTTGGCCTCTTTATTTTTCCCTTGGTGTTCATCCTCTTCTCCCAGCTCAAAAATGTACATGCATGCACACACACATACATACACACTCAAATGCAAAGGATCACCAAATTTGATTGAGGTGGTCACATCTGTCTTGTTTTCTCTTCAGCCAGGTATCTACCCTCATTCAGGCCTCCTCTCTTATAGGACAGTTATCACAGATTACTTTTTTTTTGATTTATTTATTTATTTGGGAGGTGGGGGGAGGGGCAGAGGGAGAGAGTCACAAGCAGACTCTGCGCTGAGCACGAGCATGACGCAGGGCTCGATCCCATGATCCTGAGATCATGACCTGAGCCCAAATCAAGAGTTGGAGGCTTAACTGACTATGCTACCCAGGCACCCCCCGGATTACTTTATCTGGCCTCCTCCCTATACCCTAGCCTCTCCCTGCTTTAGTTGGCCTCCATGATGCCACCAGAGTCTCTGTCAAATCCTGTCAGGCCTTTACTTCAGAGCCACAGCAGGCTCTCAGTGTTCGTTCAGACTCCACAGCATGGCCTCATGTGCAGGTTCTTCCCCGCTGTTTCCTCACACACTTAACCTGGGACTGTAGGCATTCTAGTACCAACCTCAAGGAAGCCACCCTCTTTCACTCCTTCAAGCCTCTTTTGCCTTTGCCTACGCTGTTTCCCACCCATCTGCTCACCTTCTGGCAAACTCCAGTTCTTCACAGCCCAGATGTGGTCATCTCTTGTGAAGTTTTCTCTTCCCCCAGCCCACCCCCAAGCCTGGTGAGTGCTTTGTGCTCCATGATGATGCTGACTACCCTGGCTGGCAGTTCATTTCTCTCTTGCTCTGTTTCTCAAACAGTAGGGCTCTTTAGGAACAGAGAGGAACCCTGGGTTGTCTCTGAGCCCCAGGCTTGTCCTGGCGTATCATGTGTCAGGAGCTCAGGGAAGATATATAGAGAGCACAATAGAAGGCTGGCTGCCCTTCTTTAAAAAGCCATTGTGTTAAGTATGAAATCTGTGGGATGGTAGAGTGGGAGTACCCCTGATGGAATGAATTGGGGTGGCAGTGAGTGATGGCAGGGTGAGGCATCCATTGGTTGATGGTGGGTTTCATAGCTGAGGGGCTTGGGGGTGTCCATGGCCAACAGAGGGGTAGGGCATTCCTGGATAACGTGAAGTACCCATGGTTGGAGGTTGGAGACATCTATGGGTAAAAGTTGAGGGGTGAGGGTGGGGGTTGGGCATGCATTGAGAAAATGGGATACTCCTATATATACAATGGAATATTATGCAGCCATCAAAAGGAATGAGATCTTGCCATTTACAACGACGTGGATGGAACTGGAGGGTATTATGTTGAGTGAAATAAGTCAAACAGAGAGACATGTATCATATGATCTCACTGATATGAGGAATTC